TATACTATTCTATTACTTAAAGTTTAGTTATATATATATATATATATATATATATATATAAAGTGTTGATTGATAAATGAAGCACTTTAGAAAAAATTGAAAAATTTTTTCGTTTAAAGAGAAAACGAAAAACAAGTTTTTTTCTCCGTAACAAAAAAGTGTTATTTTGGGATAAGAACAAAAAAAAGAATTGTTTCTCTGACGACCTTTTTTTCTTCTTTTTTTTTTACTCAAACATATTGTACTAATCAATAAAACGATAAACCGATAATGGATTTAGAAAAGTTCAATCTGTTAGAAATATTTATTTTTTTAACTTTCATATGGTTCATCATTTTAATTTTCCTCAATTTCAGCAATTAAGTTAGAATTTACTATTCAGTAATAATTTTTCGTTTTTTTTTTGATTTAAACCTTTAAAAGTTATTACAATATAATAGTTATATTTATAAATATTATCAAACAAGAATTTTTTTTCTTTTCTAGCCTTAATATTGTTGTAACAACAAAGAAAAAAATATTTACATAAAATTGTTTTTCAAAAAAAAGGATATTTAATAAGTAAAGTTGAAGGGACTTTATTGATAAATTGCAATAAAATTAAAGACAACTTATAAGTTAAGTAATAAAGTTTGCGTGTCACTAAATATTAAATCTTTTCGCAAAATTCATTGGAAATATATTAAAATGGAATTAGCTATTATTTCAGGATGAAATACCACCTTTCAGTGAAGTAAATACTGCAACACGACGACAATCAACCGGTAAATTACTTCATCCAACTCATTTAATTAATAAACATAACTTCCCAGCTCCAACCCATATGAAGGAAGATAATGAACAAATACGAAAAAGGCATGGAAAAGCTGGAAATTATTCGTTATTAAAAGATACAAATATCGGGAATGAAGAATCGGATCTTGAAGAATTAGCAGAGGAAGAAATAGATTTGCTAGCATCAAGAACCAATAATGAAACAGGATCCGTAAAAAACTATAAAGAAGCATTAATGAATGATAATGATGGTGATGATAACGATAATGATAATACATCTACAAATTCAACAATATTATCACCACTATCGCTTCATACTAAAATCATTAATAATATGGGCCATCGAGGATCTATTATCCTCATTGATGATAATGATGATGATAATAATAATGCTGGTCATGATAGGCCATAAAAAGCCACATAATTGTAAAATTCTATCCGTAATTGATTTACCAATTATGGATAAAATTTTAGAACTAATGCTATCAACAATCGCACTTACCAATAATTCGTTGGTATGAAAATCGATAATATCGATAATAGATCGATAATAGATACCAGAGGGTAGGGTTAAATTAGTATGATCAATACGAGCTTTTTATAGTAATCACATGATTAATGAATTTCATCTGCTAATTCCGTCTTCATTGTGCCATTCATTATTTTGTGTAAATAGTTGTACATCAAAATGCAGAACTAAACATGAGATTTCGTTGTTGTACAAATGATTAGCATTCGAATGGCTACGAATTACTTCTTGATCAGGATTAAATTAGTACTAATTTGCAAAAATATCCAATTTATCAAAGGAAGGAAAAGAACGCAAAACTATTGTAAGTGATAAGTTATTGTACTTCATGAAATTGATAGTAGTTGTAATTAATCCCAAATTTGGATTAACGTTCGATTTCAAATAATTAAAACTGTCAAATTTGCTTTTGAACATTCCAAATCCAGATTTTTGTAAAGGAAAGAAATAACAAAATATATTCACCAAATACCATAATATTCATATTATTAAAGTAATAATTTTATGCTTTGTTATCATGATAATCATCAAGTCCAACAATCACAAACGTATAAGACACTTCTAGTCTAATCCCTTTGCTTAAATACTTCCCCAATCTAATGTTAGCATTTATATTTCATGAAATGAAACTGTAGTAGAATATCATCCATTATTGTGATTAATCCTATAGGAAGAAGGTAAAATACGGTGGTATTTTGTAACTGTTGAATGAAACGATGATATAGATGAAATACACATTATTGCTGAATTGTTTTATTATTTATCAAGCTTCATATGACATTACCATGAAACAAGCAAGAGAAACAAGAGAGAAAGGCAGAAGCTCGCAAAACAACAGTGGCAATTGTTTGTTTGATGATTACTATGATAAAGAATATGTGATCATTCCGTACAAAATAAGAATTCTTTGATCTTCTGAAGAGCCAAATTAAGATCACAAGCTATTATCGAATATGCATAATACCAATTTTATTGCAAAAATCTTAGCACAACCAAAATTAGCAATCTTCAAGCTGTTTGCACGACATTTAATGCATAAGACAAAAGAAAGTTTTAGGAAATAACCAATGCTTTCAAGCCATATACAATCACTGCCGTTCTCGTCACGAATTTCCCGAAGGAGAGATCAGTTGAGGAACAGTTGAAGCAACTGCTGTTTACACGTAAAGTATTTCGAAGTTGTACAAGAGAATCGTATATCTAGCAGCGTGATGCGATAAGCTGCATGTTATGTTGAATAAGCATAGTTGGTAGCTTTATGATTACTGGAAAATCGAAATCAGCATCTTAGCAACGAGATAAAACAAAGGATTTTCATTCTATTTATGCCGCTTCCTTGACCTTTAAACATTCTTCTGTACCACTCTTAATTTGTTCTGCAGCAGCAATATACTGTGGTGTATCCTTTAATGTCGCTTCATGCTCACTAATTACCTGAAATACAAGATAGCCATTTGCATAAAATGTAAGAAATAATCTAAACATGAAAAGAGAAAAATTCGCCAAAATTTTCAAGACACTCAAAATGTCTAATTGTATATCTTACTTTCATGAGTTGTATTCTTCTAATCTCATTATTGCGGTACCCGTTATTAAGGAAGTGGAAAAAAGAGACTACTCCATCACTAGTGCAAAACATATATCATATCATCATGTAGTGAAAAAAAAAAATCCTGCACCCCATCATTACAAAAGTGTAAATAACAGATAGTTTTAGAAAAACTACGATAATCCATAATCAATTTTTCTTCTCGCTGCCAGTATCCATTAACTGTTAATTGACAGCAAAATTGAGAATCTCTATCTAGTTTTCAAGTAGCTACAGCTCTTCCATACAATATCCAGCAACAAGGGACGGAAAGAAAACAAAAGGCCATGTCTTTTTTTTTTGTAATAGAAAATTTAACTTAACCTTTTTCAAATTTTCAATCGAATTCATCAATCGTCGAGCACATTCCGGTATCATTTGCTTCGTTTCCTGGACAAAAAATGTTTGACCTTAAAGCTTCTTTCCTCATAAAATTTTTTCTTCCAATGTAACCATGGCTACGTGCTTATAATCGAACTTTAATATTTATAACAAATTTGAAACAGTCCCAGAATATTACCTGAAGCAATTCTATCTGTTTCTTAATGACATGTTCATCAGCATCATCACCACCTTGCATCGTTTGCAGTTTGTTCATTAACTTCTCCTCTTCTTTCTCATAATAACATAATTCCTTTACCAACCGTTTCACAACACCCGTTTTAATTGAAATATCTCGTAAAAGTAGAGGATCTGTCATTATTCTGCAAAAATTAATTTTTCAAAATCGATATAGTTCCCAAGTGATCAATATGATATACTTGAACATTTTTCGTAACGATTACTGTTTTGTGCATTTATGGATCATATTTATTTATTTACCACTGGCGGAATACTCATCTTAATCACTTCATTTTATCTTACTAACTTATTACCGATAATCAGTTAGTTCGTCAGTCAACTCATCACTTAATCATATTATAAATCGACTTAGCAGTTATTCCATTTTTCAATATTACTTTTATTTTGTCCTACTAACCTATGGAATTAATTGCCAGATCATTTAACAATCATTCTGCAAATCATATAACGAAATGAAATATCAATTTGTATGCTTTTCTCACAAATTTCCTGTAATACTAAAAATTATTACAGCAAGCAGGTATAGGTTTGCAAAAAAATAAATAAATAAATAAAATAGAATATAGCCATAACAAAAGAAATCTCAATGTAATATTTGAAGCATGAAAATACGAAATTATAAAAAAATTAACAAATTATGCTAGCAAAATAATACTTAAACTTATATGAAAGCGCTAATATTCAAAAATATTATATAATATTTCCGTAAGGTTTCGCAATACCGTGAAAATCCCCGTTCATTCCGCAAATAACTAAAAGTCTCCGGCAAACCCCCCCTTCCCCGCCCTATGATTTCCCTCGCGTTCAAATAAATTTATGCCGTATTGGGGTCCATATTTCATGTAAATAGCTGCGGCCCGTAAATCTCAGTACGAGCATGGATGAGTGGGACCGCAGAATGGTTAGTGGACGCTGAAAGATTTGATACTTGAGTGTTCGAGGGTTAGTTTGGACAGAGATCATTTTGATGGCATATAATTCTAAAGTTACTGCATTGTATAATATATAGCGTTGGAGAAAAATGCGAACTATTTTGCGTGATAACCAATTATTTAATAATTAAATTCTTAGTTAATTGACAATCCAAATATTTGTTCGCTCAATAAATTCAATGATTTGTTTGCTTAATAATTCAATTATTTAGCAAGCTTTCTGATACACCAATTATTTGCCTAATTGATAAGTTAATCGATTGCATAGTTACGCAGTAAATTTGGTGATTCATCTAATCATTTGATGAATAAATTATTTGGTGAAATGGTACAATTGACGAATTGGTAAAAATATTTTGTAATTAGTAAAAATACAGGATTGGTTGGATGGACTGTTGTTATTACTAAAAAATCAGTATGTAAAGAAGGAAGGAAGAGGAATTTGCAAAACGAAAGATGTTCGAAGCATATACACCCACGGAGATAGCTACAAGATTGGAGAAATCAGTTGATGTAGCATCGTTGGCTGCTCATGGTTAACATTATTTTATCTCTTGTTCACAAAAAAAATTTTTTCTTTGAGATGACCAAATGATAAACTTGAAAGATTAGGATGGAAGACTTGGAACAGGAAATTATTACCAATGTAAGATACTTTCCCGTATCACTTTGATTAGCTTTTCTTTTGTCTCTGAGATAACCAAATGACAAGCCCGAAAGATTAATATGCAAAAGAGATGGAACAAGAAATTATTAATATAAGATATTTCCCCTTATCTCTCTGATTATCGATTTGTAATTTAATTCCATTTAAATGTTACATTAAACACGACAGGTCATGCTGCCAAAGTTTATGTTGGAAGTAAGGCTGGTTATTTGCTGGCATTGGATGGAATCCGTGAAGGTCTGTTCATATTTCATTGTTTTTATAATATCACTTTTGAAACAGAAATTTTTTGGATCATTTACGTGATGTACAATGTAGTATTGTGTAATTCATATAAATACGGCAATCAATTTTCAACAAAAAAAAATAACCTTAGGATACTTTTTGAATCATTTTAGAATATTACTAGTCCATGATTACAGGTAAGCGTGGGTACGATCTATCGATATGTCGCTCATTCGAGAAGAAGGCAGTAAATGAATTGTGCTGTATCGAAAAGCATGATATACTGCTATGTTTAACTGATTCACAAATTGCTGCGCATGATCTTTTTGATCCATTTTCCTTGAAAGCACTTATTTCCGATGTTAGACCCATATCTGCTTTCTGTGCTGTTGTATCAGAGGTATAATCCTTTCTATCCACTGCGAATTATTTTTTCAAAATTATAACATTTGGTTGCAGTTATTACTTACTTGAATCTAAGAGATGTAATCAACTTTACTGAATTTCAAACAAATTCTAAGTAAATTAAATTTTAGTTTTACTTGAAGTGAGTAATTGAATAAATTAGATAAATAAATTTCAAGTAGATAAACTAATTAATTGACTTCACTTAAATAAATTTTGTTTGAACGCAAGTGGGTAATTGATATTTCGTACTCCTCAATAAATGTTTGAAAGATTTACAGGTAGATGGAATATTATATGTAGCTGTAAGTGCAAGGAAGAAAATATTTCTTTACAAGTGGCTTGTTGATGAATTTACTAAGATGCGTTTTGAAATGTCATTAGGTAATTTATTTTTCTTTGGTTTCTGGAACTTCAATTTAAAAAAAAAATAACTTGGCGTATATTTCCATTTACATGCTTAATTTCATTTTGCAGCTTTTTTTCCGGATTATGTGAATTATATGGTTTGGTGTGGTCCTATTATATCGCTAGCTGTGCAAAACGAATATTACTATATGACCGTCTTTCCGATCAGAGTATGGAATCAGTTGCAAGAATTTAAAGATTTTGAGAGAATGTTTATATTTAAGAATATGGATATGGGGGTTTATAATAAAAATTTAAGTAATTAGTCGGCCAAAGTTGAAATAGATGTTATGAAAAGCTTTTAGGAAGATGCAGTGAATGTGAAAAAATTATTTGATGTTGGTTCGAAAACAGAAAATCCAGTTATTGTTGGAATACCAGATTATAAACAGATTGCATATTGTCGTGATAATTTCTTGTTCTTTCAAGAATATTATGGAACGGTGAATCCCATATCAGAAATGAAATTCTCGGAAGCTCCTCTTAATATTGGTATGTTTATTTATTCTTTTGAAACATCATTTCCTAATCTACGGTACAGTTCCCTGCACTTACCTGTTTCTTTTTTTAAATCTTTTCGCGCAGTTTAATTTTATCAACGATGGAAAAGTACTCGAAGAGTAATGATAAGATAGTAGAGGTACTTGAATTTGAAATGATATTGAAACATTTCGTTTAAGCAGACATTTGCAGTATATGATGCCCCATATTTGTTGGCACTCTTAGGGAAAGGAAAAGTTGAGATACGTTCAGTGAGGCCAACGACACATATACAAACTATACAGCTTAATAAAGCGATGTACATATCCACTGGTTTGAGGTAGGTTATATACAACTTTGGTCACGTTTTAGAATAGTGATTTTTGATTAGGCATTTAATTAATTCCTTTATCTATCAGGTCTTTATTAATTTTTATGCATGTGTTCGGGAATTATAACTTAAATTTATTTTCTTATGGGTGTTATTAGATTTATTTGTAAAATGCGATGTTTTGCTACTGAAGACTTTTAGTCTTTCGTTACAGAGGGACGGTTTATGTGGGGAGTAGCAGCGATGTATGGCTTTTAGATTCTCGACCACAAATGAGAAGTAATGTGGAACGGTTGGTTAGCGAGAAGCAGTTCGAATTAGCTGTTCAGCTAGCGGTAATCCATTTTTCTCCCACATTCTTTAATATTTAGTGTCTGCTACTTTAAAATAATGCAGAGACGGGTTAAATTAGTTCTGTATTTTCAAAATGCTTCTCATGAGAACTTGTAAATTCTTCTAGGAGAAATGCGATGAAATAGGTTGTAAAGGTGTAATGGAAATCAAACGTAACGCAGCCTTCAACTTATTCTGTCAGCGAAGATTCGACGAATGGTTGGAAATTCATGCACAGATCAAAACTGGTCGGTTTCATGCTCACTTCTAAATTTTTATCAATATCTTTTGCCAAAACTGAGTAGACGAAATAGTTTGATACTGATGTTGTAAGCCAAGTTCATCTTAGAATTAGATACTGACTTTAACTTATACAGATGTGATGACTGTGATAGCGCATTTCCCACGACTACTGGATTCTAGTTATCAGGAATCACTGAAGTCTTTGCTTGATGGACAGCCACCGGATTTTCCTGAAAATGAATTTAGAAACGGGTTGCAGTCGCTGGCTCCATATCTTGCTTCTGTATGTTCACTCACAACTACTATTTCTGGATCTATGTTACTTATCTGTGCTACTTTTTATACAACATTTAGGTACGTATGGAACACGCGAAGGCAGTTACTGAACTTAAAAAACTTTATCATCTACATATGCGAGATGTTGATATCGTGGAACGGTTGAAAAATCATGAAAATGTTTTACAAGTGGTGGATACTACATTACTAAAGTGCTACCTTCAAGTCTGTTGTTACACCATACATATATTAAGCTTTTCTGCGTTCAAGATGAATGCTAAATTTAAAAATTAAGACGTTAAGAGCAATAGTTTTTTTTCTCTTGGGGAAATATTCCGATTGGTTCCTCAAACCATTGGTGGGAATTTAAAAACTTTGGCAAGGTTATTCTTGGGCTCTTGAATTAATTGAACAGTCCAATTTTATGTTAATTGTGCAGTGTTCCTTTTCTATTTTAATTTGGTCTTAGTTGGTCTTTATTATAGAAAATATGACTCATTTTGCTAGTGTAATGTGCAATAGAATTATTCTAACTGTAAGCAAGCTGACAGGATATTACCTGATGTAAATTGGCTTAAAAGTAAATGCTTGAGATTACCGATATTTTAATTGAAATGCAATAGTTCTATGCATAATTTCTATGTTAGGAGGTTGATATTTTGTCCGTAACGCATATTCT